GCACGCATGGGGTAGTGAGGCTTTTTTTACCAACCCTCGTTTACCACAACGCTGGCATTCAATGATCACTTCTTGGTTGGGTCTCCATGGTTCCTTCTAGCCTTTCTATTTCAAAAAAATATTATAATAAAAGTTAAAAGTCTCTCCGCATCACAATTCTTCTGATAACCGCAGATGACGTATATGGGATTAGAACAACGCCAGTGGCAAGGCTCAATGACTGCTTAAGGAAACCGCTAAGTTGTAAGAACTGTTAGACGTATCAACATTAATTTACTGGCAAAACGAGACGAAAACAAACGAACTGGCTTTCCCGAAGATACGTACGAGCCAAGAACTCGAGTCTGGAGACAGACAACCCTTGTGAATTTAATAACCCCACTTTGCACATCATTTTCAAAACTGTTACCGTGTAATAATCTGAGATTGCTTTATCGAGAGCTAGCTGCAGCTGATTTCGAAGATAACCTCCGTAAGCAAACAGCGGCTGATGGCATGCTGAACATTCACTAAGCCATAGCCTCCGATCATCATCAGCATTATCTCCCTGCAACGATATGTAACGGTAAAATTTCTCTGAGATGTGGTGAGTAGACTAAAGCGATTAAGTGTTAAGTGCGAGCTCTCAGGCTATAAATTTATAACATATGAAGCATTTTATAATTTAACAATTAATGTAAAAAATGGCCTACACAGTTTACTTCCTCATTAACAATTCGTTACATTTAGAGAAGTCGAGACGATGTTTCCGGGAATCCAGTGCCGGGTAAGAATTCCCTATGAAACAAGGAAATAAATCGAAGACCTTTTCGTCACTGGAAAGGTTTATGACCGACATATTTTGGCACGCATGGTACTGAGGTTTTTCCACTACCAACCCTCGTCTAACACAGCGCTGACATTCCCATTTGGAACGATCACTTCAGAACTGGGCCTCCTTGACCTCTTCTACCCTTTCCATTTATATCCATTTTGCACCGTCTAATTGCATTCCTATTTTGAAGTACATGTTCACTAATTCAGCACCCAATACTGTGACGAATCTGGGAAATGATATGTCCCTGCACAAAATTGCTGAAAAAGCGCTTAACTTATAAAATATTAGATTTTGGTGCAAAATTTAAAAAAAAATTAACTTACATCAGACAATATACATCCACGTACAATAATTTCATGTTCACAGCCCTCGTGTGGACAGATGAACTTAAACGGTTCGCACTGATCGAAATCGTACTGTATAATTGTAAGCTGATCATGCTGATCATCCACTTCCGCTGCTTCACTGTGAGCATTAACAAATTTTCGAAAAGTGGAGCCATCCAGACCTGGAACGCGATTTGTTGGAATTTGAAAGAAAAATTCTATATCAAAATAATATTCTATAAAATTCTATTCTAATAATTTTTCTATCATTTTATAATATAGTTCTGTCCTATATCTGTTTCACAGCCTTCAAAAAAAGGCACGAAAAAAAAGGTTTTCATTTTTCTTTTAAACGGAAGATTGCAGCATCCAGGTCGACTCTGGAAATGTGTGAAGGAGTTCAGGAAAAAAGAAACAATGTAGATTAGAGAAAATAAGTGCGAGATAAGACGTTTCGGTCCATTAAGTCATATACTTCTTGACCCAACACTGCGACTGGACCTCGTCAGTACGACAGTCGCAGTGTTGAGTTAAGGAGTATATGACTTAATGGGCCGGAACATCTGTTAAAGCGATTTTTGTGAGAAAAAACTATCAACTCCACCGCCGATATTTAATGTATGGGAACAAGATCAGTGATATTATTGCATCCAAGCAGATATACCTGAATGAAGATACTAATATAAATTTACACAAAAATCTGGACAGATCTCTTCTACCTGACTGGGCCCTGAATATTACTATAATTTTCTGCCTTACTTTCGCGCTTGTATAATGATACATCTTAGTTTTTTTAGCAAAATCGGAAGCTTTCGGAAGCCAACAAACCCAAAGCTTGTGCAATCCAAACAGCGTCGCATTCCTCAATCGGAGCGCACAAACGGCTCACAACCGGGTGCACCTGTTGCGATAAGTAATATTGTAGATCTGCAAAAAATTTCATTCTTTAACTTTTGATTAATGAAGCCGATAAAGCCGCAGTGTTTCTGGCGCCTGTAAGAAAATTCACTTTTTAAAATTGCAAAAATTTCGTAAAGATAGAATCAAATGAATTATTCAAATTATTCAAATTTTTAATTTTTAAATAAACAAATTTGTAAAGCAATCTGCGTCACTTTCAAAACATATTTCTCACCGATCTTAAGATTTCCATTGCTTTGCAGCTCGCTACTATGATATGCACGTTGAGTTGCTGTATTTCCGCTTCCATCCTAAAAAAAAAAACAACGTAATTTGAAACAATTTTCGCAGCAACGGATCAGATCAGTGAGAACTATTAAAAAACACCAACACCGCCCAAAAAGCTGGTGCAGGTCCCGGTGTTAGCAATGTTACACGGATTTCTTTATAATCCGTGCGCAAAAATATATCAAACTCTGCATATCTCCAATTAGTGTCCATTACCCGCCAGTCCATGTATGTGCACCAGTTTTTCCCAGAAACCGCCCAAAATACTGTTTCTCATGGTACTACTCACCGATATGCAATGCCTATTCAGTAGTGCGAGGTGTTCGATTAGTCGTAAAGGGCAACGTCTCGTCATGCCCAATAAGTAATTACCTCTCAGAATTCAGCTTTTCTTACCTCGCAAATAATGTAGCTGATAATATC